AACGCTGACTAGTGCCAATCCCGCTGTGTGTGTATCGTGAATTAGCAGAAATTGGAATTCATGGTCTGGCTATTCGACTCTGTAACTAAAAAGTCCTGGGTGTACTGATAAAGAGTCCCAAACTAGGCTGACAAAACAGTTATCTGTCTAGTACTCCTTGTTGATTTTCCAACAGTTTTCTAACCGATGTCAGCTCATGATAAGCTTCTCTCCTTGAGTGGAACAGTGGGTGGACTTTAAGCCTGAAGCTTTGAAGTTGCTATAGAGGTGGTTTTGTTTTCATGGCGGAGGGGTGGGTGGGGAGAACTGTTATACTCATGTCCATTTCTCTCCTCTTCTCTGAACCAAATCACCTGCTTGACTGGCGATCCATTTTATCCTTGAACTACCAACACACTCTCTCACACACACACACTGACTGAAAAATGATGATAATATTATTGATAATTATTTCTTAGTGGATTGGTTATGCAACCACTTTTAGTTAGAAGTGACCTTTCTAGGAATTGATATAACCGATAGACGCCTATTTTTAAAAGTAATTAATCCGACGGAATCTATCAATTTTTTTAATGAGAATGATGAATGTTACCTGTTTGAAGGAATCAGTCTGTCTATCTCCCAATCTATCTGTCCGTCTACCCGTCTGTTTATCTACCTGTCTTTCCATCTATCTGTCTGCCTGTCTATCAAACATTCACAGTGACGATGTATATAGGAAGACTGATTGCATACAAACTCAATGAAGAAAGGCAAAAAGAAAGTCAGAGCTTTATCTCAGAATGAATGAAAGACAGGTGAAAGATCACAAAAAAAAAGAGAAAAATTCAGTTTTTTTTACATGTATTATTTGAAAAATTTCTTCTTCTCATCCTTGATTTTAACTTATCTACAAGAGGAATATTGGAAAAACAAAGTGATTTTTTTGATGTGGTTTTGTTCTCTGAGCTGGATGGTTAGTTTGCGAAGCTTTCATCACCCTACTGGGTGACATCTTCAGCGCATACTTCAATTTACAGAAGTGAGCTTTTAGATTTCTTCGAGAGTTCATTATTCATCTCTCCTGGTGACCACCTTGAACGTGATTGGTTGTTTATGTGTGTTTTTACATCTTCTAGGTTACTTGTATTGGAACTGATTGTTTCTTTGATTTGAACTTTGACCCTTTATGTGTGAAGTTTCTTTCTTATTGGTTGATAAATTTTGTCTATCTATCTATCTGTCTATCTATCAACCAATAAGAAAGAAACTTCACACATAAAGGGTCAAAGTTCAAATCAAAGAAACAATCAGTTCCAATACAAGTAACCTAGAAGGTGTGAAAACACACACAAACAACCAATCACGTCCAAGGTCACCAGGAGAGATGATTAATAAACTCGTGGAGAAATCTAAAAGCTCACTTCAAATTGATGTATGCGCTGAAGATGTCACCCAGTAAGGTGATGAAAGCTTCGCAAACTAACCATCCAGCTCAAAGAACAAAACCACATCAAAATCATCCACCTGAGCTACAAATCTTCTCTATCATATCTAAAGTGATTTTTAAAAATTGTTATTGTTCTATTAGGTTCCAAAGGGAGCATACAACTTTGGCAACACATCTCGGCTACTAGTTCTATGATTGCCGATAATCTCTCATCTCCTCCTCTTCCTGCTTCAACTCTCACGATCTCCTCCATGTCACTGTCTCACTGACGAGTATGGAAGTCAGCGAAGGCTAACTCGTTGAAATTCCTTTTTGTGACGTACATTCAGTGCAACTTTCCAACCCTCATACACAAGGACTGATTGACTTCATATTGGTGTTGAAAATCTGAATCTTGTTCTTTATGATATGGAGTCCAGATGACTTCAAAAATGATTTCACAATGATGAAGGTGTATCCTACCTTTCCAATTCTAGTCTTGATATCCTCATTTGTTCCACCTGTCGTTGAAACAATTCTTCCTACCCAGATAAGTGAAGGAAGTAACACCTCTGTCAAATCTCTCCTAGTGATGATGATCGGTTTTGATTGTTGTTGCTGTTGGTTGGTTGGTTGGTCGGTCGGTCGGTCGGTTGGTTGGTTGGTTATCTCCACCTCTTCATTCTTCTCTATGTTCACCTACATTCCTGTCTTTCTATAGTTTTGGTTTGTAAGGATTAGTTATATTTTACGAGTTGATCACGGATTGATATCAGTTAGAGAACCATTGAAAACCAGGGAGTACTGGACAGCTGCTGTTTCATCAGCCTAGTTTGGGAATCATCGGCAGTACGCACCCACTGGGATACGAACCCAGGACCTTCCGGTTGGGGTTGCGCTAAATCACGAATTGGTAGAAGTTAGAATTCACGAGCCATTGAATCGGGTCCCAGTGGCTGAATGGTATACGAGCTTGCCTTGTAACCGGAAGGTCCTGGGTTCGAATCCCAGTGGGTGCGTACTGCCGATGATTCCCAAACTAGGATGAAACAGCAGCTGTCCAGTACTCCCTGGTTTTCAATGGTTCTTTAACTGATATCAATCCGTGATCAACTCGTAAAACATAACTAATCCTTACAAACCAAACTATAGAAAGTTAATCTGATGCTCGCTAGTGACTTGCTACAGGTTGGAGTTTCCTGAGTTCTAGTGAGAAGTCGTGACCAGTGAGGTCCAATTAGATGTCACGTGTGTGGATGGATGTCCCACCAACGACAATGGTTGGGGTCGCGCTAAATCACGAATTGGTAGAAGTTAGAATTCACGAGCCATTGAATCGGGTTCCAGTGGCTGAATGGTATACGAGCTTGCCTTGTAACCGGAAGGTCCTGGGTTCGAAACCCAGTGGGTGCGTACTGCCGATGATTCCCAAACTAGGATGAAACAGCAGCTGTCCAGTACTCCTGGTTTTCAATGGTTCTCTAACTGATATCAATCCGTGATCAACTCGTAAAACATAACTAATCCTTACAAACCAAACTATAGAAAGTTAATCTGATGCTCGCTAGTGACTTGCTACAGGTTGGAGTTTCCTGAGTTCTAGTGAGAAGTCGTGACCAGTGAGGTCCAATTAGATGTCACGTGTGTGGATGGATGTCCCACCAACGACAATGGTTGGGGTCGCGCTAAATCACGAATTGGTAGAAGTTAGAATTCACGAGCCATTGAATCGGGTTCCAGTGGCTGAATGGTATACGAGCTTGCCTTGTAACCGGAAGGTCCTGGGTTCGAATCCCAGTGGGTGCGTACTGCCGATGATTCCCAAACTAGGATGAAACAGCAGCTGTCCAGTACTCCCTGGTTTTCAATGGTTCTTTAACTGATATCAATCCGTGATCAACTCGTATTCCTGTCTTTGCTATCTATCTCTCCTAGCAGTTTGTGTGACATTAAACATAAATTATCCTCGCATGAAATCCTGATCTTCTAAAGTCTTCTTTTCGGTCAGTCCAACGTATTCCTTTTGTCTCACCGCCTGTGCACAGTCTGACGCATAATCCAGTTTAGGAATATCATCGGTGATAATAGACAGCCAGCCTTGTCTTACTTTTGTATTCATTTCGAATGCCTCTTTGAGTTTCCTGTCGTGGATTACCTGACACATGGCATTGTCACACAGCCAGCTGTTGAATGATGTTGATATAAATTTGGTTACTGCACTCCATAGTGTTGAAGTAATTTCCTGATTACTTTTCGGTCAGCGCTGTCAAAGGCGTTTTTGAAGTCGATGAAGGCGAGGTAGAATGAGATTTGACCACCAACAGAGGTTCAAACTACTGGACCATTCGGTTACAAGACAAGCTTGTAGACCATTCAGCTACTACTAGGACCTGAATCCTCAATGGCCAGTCCATGAATTCTAACTTTTACCTATTCGTGATGCATTAAGCGCAACTGGCAACAACCAGTGTCATCGGCGGAAAATCTATCCTCACTCCCGACTGAATGGACCTTACTGGAATTTCGCCCTGCAGCTAGTCAATAGAGAGCAACAGATTAATTTATGGTCATGTTAAAATCACGTATTGGATTATTATTATTATTGTTGTTATAGTTAAGTATTTGGTGTGTGTGTGTGCGAATGTGCGTATGTATTGATTTTCTGTATATTTATTTCTCCCAAAGTTCCTGTATTTGTTCTCTTGATTAAGGCGTTTAAGAATGACATTTTATGTTGTTTACTAATCTGTGAGTATATTCCAAATCATTTCTTCTTATTATGATGAATATGTTGTCAATATAGTTTAGCAAGATTTACGATGGTGGCACAGTGGTTAGGACTCTCGCTGACCATGCACATGGTCCGGGGTTCGAGCCCGCGCCGACGCACACCTGATATCTATGGTCGGCCTGCGAAATTTGGGCTACCGATATCCACACTGAAAATTCCATACTTGTACCAAAAATACGGTGTGGAATCAAGCTGTAATCAAAAAATAAAAAATAAATAAAAAAAATAAAAAAAGATATCATTATGAGTAGTGCTATCAAATATGTATAACGGCTTCAGCAATCAGACCTGAAACGGGACGAACCCATCATTGTTCTTTTTATCTTTTCGTATATCTGGTCACTGAATTGATAATATGTTATTAGGTATAACTCTTCATAGTTCGAATCCGATGGGATCATGGGCGTACACACTGCAGAAGAGCCTCATACTAAGACGAAACACACGTATCCAGTGCTCCCTAGCTTTCAATGATACTGGTATGTAACACGAAATCGACATTGAAATTAATTTCAGTCCTTACAAAAAACCCATAATCTAATTACAGCAAATCGGATGTGAGGACAAATACTCGCCAGAGATCACATTGTCTAGTGCTATTCGCGTTATATCGTGAATTGGCAGAAGTTGGAATACGTGGAGTGAACATTGGATCAGTTCCTAGTGACTGAATGGTCTGCAAGACTGACTTGTAACTGGAAGGTCTGTGGTTCGAACCTGGTGGTGTGTATATACCACTAAAAAGTCTCAAACTAACTGTCTAGTACTCCTTGTTGGTTTTCCAATGGTTCTCTAACCTTTTTTAACAAAGCAAAAACTACAGTTTTAGCAGAATAATGTGGTACCACCATCTATTTCGTTGGCTTCTCATCAGCTGCTTACAGCCTAAATAAATTATGAGGTTTAAGTACAGACATGTTTTAACATACTTGCAAATTTTACATGTTGTCAGTTGACAGAAAATTCCACAATTTGTAAACAGTGCTCAGAAGATTACGCTTATATAGTTTTCACACAGGCAGTTCAAGTTTAAACAAAATAAACGTATGCAGAAAATGGTAAAGGAGTTACGTAATAAAGATGAGATGTGCATTAGATGCATAGTGACTAGTAAGTTAGGTAACAATGAACTGAGTTGAGCTCAAATCATAGAAACAAGAGACAAGCAAAATTACAGATTATAAAAGGAGGGTGAGGTTAAAGACAAAGATTACGTAATCAGATGAGGGGAAAAAAAGACATCCAGTTACCCAGGCAAGGAAAGACTAATAACTGCTTCTTTCTGAACACATAAACCTGGTTTCAAGCGTTTGATAGAAATCGCTTCAGCAAACTTGAGGAGAATTGAGCTCTTCTGCTTATTGATAATTTTGAACGACTTTTCAACGTCCACCTCATGACCTGTGTCGAGGAGATGCCTGGTGATGGCACTGTTTAAAGCATTTGTTCCCTTGAGACATAAGCGTTTTGATACGTGTTCAGAAAATCGTAGATATGCCCTTCTTTCTGTTCTTCCAATGTAACTGCTCCCGCAGATACACGTAAATTTGTATATACAGTTTGAGGTAACATGCGAAGGATATCTATCGATTTTTGATTGCACCAAAGAGAAAGTTGTTCGATAGACGGGAACGAGCTTGGCTGCAGGATAGGCTATTGCTAGTGATGGACTCAGCCTTCTGTTGATCATCGCTGCAATATTTTCACCTTTATAGTCAAGCTGAACGTAGACTGGCTTTTTACCCACTGTGATTTGTTTTACATTTGTGACTTCAGATCTTCCATACTTGTTGATGAACTTTTGAGGATACACATTTCTCTTCAATATCTTTTCGAGAAACATAAACTCTTCTTCTAATTTCTCTATAGAGCATATTCTCCTCGCTCTATAGTACAGAGTCTTGACTAGACCCCGTTTAAAGCTACTTGGACAAAAGCTGTTAAAATGCAAGTATTGTCCTTTCCATGTGGGTTCTCTAACTGATGTCAGCCCATCATGATGAAATCCTGTAAGCAAACAAATCAAATTCTTGAAAACTAACAGTTGAATGTATATATATTATTATCGTTAATTATTTTGCTAAGTGAAATCAATTAAGGCATTATAGATCATCATAAAGTATTCACAAGGCAACTGTTTCATTTTCTACAGTTGGTTTGCAAGGATTAGTTTTGATTTTACGAGTTGATCACGGATTGATATCAGTTAGAGAACCATTGAAAACCAGCACTGGAATACTGGACAGCCAGCTGTTTTATCAGCCTAGTTTGGGAGTCATCGGTTGTACGCACCCACTGCCAGGGTTCGTACCCAGGACCTTCCGGTTACAAGGAAAGGTCGTATACCATTCTCTAACTGATATCATCAATCCGTGGTGGTCAAACTTGTAAAAACATAACTAACTCCTACAAACCAAACTATAAAAAATTAATCTGATGCTCACTAGTGACTTACTTGTACAGGACAGAGTTTCCTGGAGTTCTAGTGAGAAGTTATGACCAGTGAGGTCGATCCAGTCCGGAGCTAGGATGGATGTCCCGCCGGTGACACTGGTTGGTGATGGTCGCGCTAAATTCATCAGGAACTGGTAGAAGTTAGAATTCATGGACTGGTCATTGATGAGTCACGTTCCATTGGCTGAATGGTATACGAGCTAGCTTCCCTTGTAACCGGAAAGTCCTGCGTTCGATCTCCTATGATCTAGTGGGTGAGTATTGCCGATATTCCCAAACTAGGATGAAATAGATGTTCAGTACTCCAATGCTGGTTTTCAATGGTTCTCTAACTGTGGTGAGAGCAGGCTGCTAGCCGATTGGTTGACACTAATCTACGTTAATGTCTAGGTCACTAATATGACCGTGAGAAAATATCAACAAGGTTGTTTCAGCAACCAATCACAGCAAACTTAAACGTGGACAAATATGATTCGCAGATAGATGGCTCTACTTTCCGAGAAATATCGAAAACAACCAATCATAAGACTGTGTTTGTCTGCTTAACTTCCGAGAAGCTACCAATCAGAAGACTGCCTTTTTCTGCTTACATAAGCCTTATTAATGTACATAAAATATATAAATACGTGTTGATTTTCGTAATAAAACGATCTGTTGCCAGCCCTTGTCTTCTGTTGTTACGATACCATCAATCCGTGATTAACTCAACTGTTTCATTCCAATTTAAGATCTTCATGAGATATGTTCATTATGAAATGATATACAATATCTAGTCACCTACACTTAACTTTTCCCCCTAAAAACACAGACCTGTAAATTCACCGATACTTAAGAAATTTTGAATAAGGAATTATGATTCTTTAACGTGGAAAGGAAGGATAGGGGAGTGTGTTCAAGGGATGTTGGCGGTGATATTGAATATTTAACCTACATAAAAATTACTTTGACTAGAATTGAAAAAATCCTTTTCTTTTCTGTGTAGCTAAAGATAATCAACAGAAAGCTGTAGTGTTAGAAATTATGCTTGTTGGCATTCTTCAGCAGGGTGTATTTACAGGCACAAAGGGAAAAGATGTAGAGATTTGAACCCTCATCCCCTACAGTGCTACAGTCCAAGATGTTTATACAACCTACCTCCTGTAAGATCATAATGAATGTATTGATCTTGTGGTGAGAGCTGTCTGCTAGCCACAATTAGTAGACAGCAATTTACGTCAATGTTTACTTCCCAAATCTTGGTCACGAGGAAAACAAGAACAAAAACTTTGCGTGGGCGGATACGATTTTAGCAGATATACGATTTAAATCATCAAAGAAACGTTCACAAAGAGATGACAGAATAACTTTCAGCTAGAAAACAACCAATCAGGAGACGCTGTTTCTCTGCTAATAATAATAACGAATAATAATGTACACAAAAATCTATAAATATCTCGTGATTTCCTCAATAAACGATCTGTTGCCTGACTCTTGTCTTCTGTCAGTACAATCTACTACCAGGGCGTATCACCGGGGTGTTCAATCTCCTGTCACTAACGCACTCCTTTACCCCTCTAATCCGGTGATAACACCGGTTAAGAGGGAAGCTTGTGCATGAGGCTGGCTGGTAACACTATCTTGTAAAAACAAAACCACTGCTACCGAAACTTCAAGCCTCTAGCTCGAATGTTGCTCTATGTTCCAGTGGGGATATAAAGGAATAAAAAGAAAGTAGGGTGTAACCAATGTCATATGTTTAGTCCTTTGTGCTGGTTGACTAAATTTCAGCAATCAGATTTTTAATTTTATAGTTACCAAGCCAAAACATTCATTATTTCAATGCACCTTTCTGAGTTGTCGTTGTTGTTATTAGGTGGCTGAACATGAACTTGGTTTATAATCCAATGAATGTATGTGATTAAACATTTAAGCATCTTCAACGTAATACTTTGATGAAGAAAATTGAGTCAACTTTTGGTTTGTATGGATCCTAGCGATTTCAAGATTGATCACAAGATGACAGACATCAATTAGAGAATCATAGAATAACACTAAGGATTATTGGACAACCAGCTGTTTCGTCCATACCGTTTAGAACTCTTCAGCACCACGCACCCATCAGTATATCAGGTATCGAACTTAATACTTTCAGATTTATAAGGCGAGTTCGTTGACCAATCAACTGAATAGAGTGACTCGATAACTCTAAATTCTATCAGTTCATGTTATCTAGGGCGATCGCCAGCCGATATCATCGGGCGACTCTTTTTGTCTTGAGACCCAACTTGCTGAGTCCTGCTAGTCACAACTTCCTACTAGAACTTGTGACACTTTCTTCTTGTAGTTAGTCACTAGTGAGCATTAAATTAATTTTCAGGTGTTAGTTTTAAGGAATTTGACAGATTTCAAGGTCGATCACAAGCTAACATCACCATTGGAAACCAGGGATTACTAGTCAGTTATCTGACGAACTGACAGAAGTTAGCACTCAGAGACAATTGGATTCTATCCTAGCGACTGAATAGTCAATAAGGTCCTGAGTTTAATCTCCCATGGTAGGATGATGACTGAGTACTTCTTCAAAAGAGTCCTAAACAAGGGCGAAACAACTGACTGTCCTGTACTCCATGTTCTTTTAACTAACGTCAGTTCATGATACATTTCGAAAAAATAGTCATTCTGACATGAGAGGAAAATCTGAACCCTTTATGTGTTACATGCTGATACAATACACAATAAGATAATATTATTATTATTCACAGGATGACGTTTCGAACTCATCCTATGCATTGTAATCATATCAATTTGTTCATACACTTTTTTGAAATGAGATTTCTTTATGTACTTTTCTAATAGATGCACTTTGAACTGGCTAGTCTTCAAAAGATTTATTATTATCCACTTTTGATCGGACACTAGTTAGTAACGTGTTTAATCTATGTGTCTAGTCCACTCAATGGTGCAGACTGAATTCTATCAGTTCCATTAACAATGTGACTACCATACTACTAGGTGGTGGTCGCCATCATAGTGCACTGCACTTTGAATTGTTGATATCAGATGGTTGAAGGTAATCGGCGACAGGAAGCCCTATGTGACCTAGGTCTCGTGCTAGTTGGCACTCACCAGTCAGGTCAGCAAGGCAACCTTAAAGGAACAACTTATGTCATATCTGAGATTCGAATCCGAGTCACCCAGTGATAATTTGTTTTTTCCTTCACGTTCCCAGTGGAACATAGGGCTTCAAGCTAGTAACCTGAAGATTCTGTAGCAGTGTTTAATTTTACAGGATGGGCTTGCTAGCCCCATGCCCAACCTTTCCTCTTCACCAGCTTTACTTCTAGCTGAGTGAGGTAAAGGAGTGCGCCGGCTGGGGATCGAACCCCGGACCATAAGCATGGTCGGCGAGCGTCCTAACCGCTGCGCCACCGACGCACAGTGATAATAATAATAATATATAATATGATTGATTCTGGATAAATTATAAAGACGGAATATGAAGAAAAACACACTCTTAGACACACACATATATATATATACACGATTAACTTAACTGTATTGTTGTCATTTTATTTTAGAATTTTATTAAATGCTCGACAGACAGTAATGCCAACGGAATGTAGAACAAAGAGAATGAATCAGGCAGGATTCATTCGAGTGGAGCTTGTGGGGGGGGGATGGAATGGGATGAGCGGCGGAGAAAAGAAGACCGCTGGACATTTTCTATACTTTCAAAAAACGTATTTTTCTAAACAAAAGTGGAAGAGATCACTCAACATAAAGGTAATTAATATTTTATATAAATAGAGTACATTATGTAATTTGCTAAATAATATGTCACAATTTAAGTGAATTAATCTTGTTGTGTTTAATGCGTCGGTTGCACAGCGGTAGAATACTCACCAACCAGGTAGTTAGTCTGGGGTTCGATCCACGGCCATCGACGCACTCATGAGGCTAGCAACACCATCCTGTAAAAATAAACACCACTGCTAACGAAACTTTAGAGCTCCGGCTTGAAGCCCCTTATGTTGTCCCACTGGGAACGTGAAGGAACAAAATAAAAAATAGCATTGGTGCCAGACAGGCAAGCAGCAGTGGAACATGCATTTTATCCTATTTGGAACTCATCAGTTTCATATATCTACATCTCAGTGAGACTAGGATGCGACAGTAAACTATTGTCTACTAGACTACTTAGGCACGAGAGCCACCTATTTATTGTACGATTAGCATTAGTAATTATTGATTAAGATTTTTAAATTCTTAACAGGTTAATCTCCCACCTTATTGCCTATTATGCTTCTCACAACTTGACTTCCATCGCTTCGTAGCCATACAGAAGGGTGCTGTTAAATAAAACGCACATCAAACGACCAATATACCAAAGGGTTAATTCAGACGATTACAAGATTACCCATCACCTCCAGTGGTGCTATAAAAAACAGGTAGTGGAATTCTGAGAATTGTACTATTTAAATATCTGATCATCCTTACTGACACAACCACTTTTCCATAATTTTTGCTGATTTTTCTAACTACTTAATTTCTCTACAATGAAATACTCAGTATCTAATGACGTACATGTTGGCCTCTGGTATTAGTTATTATATTAGAACCCGGTGGGTGCGTACCGATGAGGAGTTTGAAACTAGGACGAAACAGCTTTCCATTACTCCCAAGTGGTTTTCCAATGATTCTCTAACCAATGTCAGCTCATGATAAAATCCTGTACATTAGAATAATTTACAGGTATTTATGCATGACGCTTTATACTACTGGCTGGTCGACTGAGATGTGAGTAGTTGGACGTCACTCACATCAGCCGGTAGATTCTGTCAAACACTCAGAATGAAGTGATTCGACCGCTAAATGGCTGTTTCACTAGTTTGGGAGAGAGTTCATCAGTAGTATTGTAACGACAGAAGACAAGGGCCAGGTAACAGGTCATTTATTGAGAGAATCAAGAGGTATTTATAGATTTTTATGTACATTATTGTCAGTGGAGAAGCAATGTCTTCTGATTGGTTGTTTTCTTGCTGAAGTTTGTCCTGAACTGCTTGTGACCGTTTCTCAGAAAGTTAAGCCATATATCTGCGAATCGGATGGTTTCTACCAAATTCTAACAAAATACTTTATTCGTGTATTGTGCCTCCTTCGTATTCACTTCATGTTTTCCATGTTGTTTTACACATTTCTCCTCTTCGCTATTTACTCAGTTGCTTAGCTATTCAAAATTCCCTACAGAAAACATTACACAAACAATATACTACTTAAATATTCTTGTAAGTAGTGCACACAAGAATTTGGCTTCAACCTACCCCGCCCTTACCGACATAATGGCATAAAAAAATATGTGCTCATTTAGCCAAAAAATTTGGTTTTATAAATTTATCTTCTTTTATTTATTCTTTTTCTTGGCAAATCATTCGGTTAGTGTAATGTAAACTGAGCCGAAGACACACACACATGTTTCAAGAAAGAAAAACACAACTCGAATATTTGGCAAAACGAAATATATAATAATCGAAGTTTTTATGATTTTTATGATTTGACAACAACAACAACAACAACTATTTAAGCTTATTTTGTTTTGATAGATTAAAGTCTCCGAAATTGGTGCCAAAAGCACAAAATAAAAGACAACGTTTTAGATACATTACACAAGATAAAAGCTTTTTTACCTAACAAGCTACAACACCCACCTGCTACAGAGGTTATCTATTTTACTATTATTATTCCCTTAGGATTTGAGTAGGACATACGGCTTCAAAAGCACACACACCTCCGTCTCATCATGTCCCCTGAATTCACCTTTAGGTTACTCTACAATTGATCAGGAAAGTTTTCATCTTTGCCTCACACAATCTCCTCCATGTCACCCGTGGAGCTGATTCCGAACTCGAGGCCTGTCTTGTGTGTGTGTGTGTGTGATATCACCTGACGGTTTGGTACATCTCGATTTTCTTCTACAAACGCAATCTGATAAAGTGCTTGGTCCTTCACAGAGGAAAAGCAATTTACTCCGATCAATGTCTTGGTGAGGAACTTAATAATATTATAATAACGGTTGCTGAGTGGAAATGGTTATCAGAAAAGTTTATTGATAAGAAATATGAATCTAAAATCAAGATAGCCCAAGGTACCAACAGTTCTGGAAAAGGAAAGCCTTATTCTTACGAATGCAGTTCCTTGGGGATAACATTAGCGAGATACTAACACAGCGCCTTAGAAATATGGTGGTGAAAAGAGCACTTCCTGCTGCTGTCTTCAAAAACACTCCTCGCTTGCGTTCGGGAGTAAAAGACAAACTGCCTAATTTCACCTCTTCCACATGCATCTACAAATTTAACTACTCCTTTGGAGTGAGAGAGTTAGTTGCATACAATTAGGCGTGTTTCCCCTCGAATTTCCAAACATCATCTAGCCTGGCGGTTAAGTAAAGGACAAACAAAATCTATTCGCAGCGCTATTCTATCTCATCTTGTGGATACAGAACACAAGATTGATATCAACGAGACAACTTTCAAAGTTATTTATCGCATACCAACAAATCTGAATTTCACCTTAAAAGGTCGACTATTAAAATATTGCTGAGACTGGCTGTTGAGATCCACACATTAAGAAACCTAACTTGTGCATCCAAAAGAAGTTAGTTCAGACCTTATCCTTATCTTAGCCATCTAGGTTTGAATGATGCTAAATTTCGTGGAATTTTTCTAATTTTATTTGATATTCTATTTGCTATATTTTATGAATCTTTAATGAACTGTGATAATTCTATTGGGATCTAACTTTACAAATGGATATTATTTAAAAAATACTAATATTGTTATTGAATACTATTCTAATATTCGGCAAAGTTAAACTTTCGAAACCACCAATCAGCAAACGACCTTGAACGAACCAATTACATTAAAGAGGCATATATGATGAATGGAAATGTATATTTATAGAAAAAAAGCACAAAATAGAGAATGAAAAAGTTACATGGGATATCTTTTTCGAACATGTGAGAGAAACATCTCCCAGTTTAGCATGGGACTGTCAATGCTTTTCCATCTGCTATCCTTTCGACGAATCCCTTTCGGAGGGAGGTGTCATACAAACCTATTACCCAAATATTGTTCGTTCGCAAGCGACCACGGTTGTATTTCTTTTTTACCAGCACTGTCTCATCGACACGCACGATAACGTCTTCCCCACCTAGCAAACAAGTGATTTTCCCCATTTTCCATGATGCGATGTCTCTGCAATGCTGGTACCACTGAACTGTTGAGACATGGCTATTCTCCATCTCGGCAGCTGCTGCTCTCACAGCCTGCTTCAACACCCATTAGTTGCAGATACACAAAGTCTGGGTTAGGGAGAGATGCGACCTAGTGAAAGTAAGTTCCTACAAAATATTAAAATTATCAGCTTACCCTCTCCAGATGAACAAACCCATCATTTGATTTGGTATAGCTTTTTAATGATACCACCACACAGACAAATTCGCTCTTTCCGGAGCAACTCATCCAGGAAATAGTGGAAAACACTAGCCTCCTCGAATCGCAACTGTAGCGTTGTAAGGTCACGCATTAGAAATGAATCAAGCGCTATACAACATTGAACTGTGTTCGTGAACCTCATTGGATAATTCGACATCGTTCGTGAATCTCATTGGATAATTCGCTGATTGGTAGTTAGTGGTGTCGAAAGTTTAACTTCGCGGACAATCAATGTATATAAACATATGTATATATAATTGTAGAGCCAGAAGAGGAGGAATTTATCGAAAGGCGGATATTCTTTGTTCAATTGTTTCGTGTTCTACATAACTGTTGAGCAATAGGTTGTTGTCTGGTTTGTCGCCTACCAAAGTTTCTTATCGGCAATTCTTTCTCACTAGCTAGCAATTGGATCTTCAGTATGGAGCTAGCCAGCGAAGTGGGTTGCTGTTGACAATAGTCTTCATTAGCCTGTTGGAAATCTTTTTTGTGACAAACGCGCAGTGAAAGTTTCTGACTCATATAGAAGAACTGACTGACTGACTGACTGGCTTAACTGGGGTGTTGAGTGTAGCAGATTTGCAAATTGATTTCAGAGTGATGTATGTCTGCCTTTTTGGTTGTGACATCCTCATCCGTCTGGCGCCTTCAGGTTTGATGTCTTGAAGTTCTGATGGCGGTTTTGTTTTCTTACGAGGTAGGATTGCTAGCCTCATGACTAACTTTCCCTCTTTGTTGAGCCTACTACTAGGAAAGGGATGTTTAAGAGCATGTCAGCAGGGACTCGAACCTTAGACTAAGTGTGCGGTTTCTGCGAGCATTCTACTGATGAACTACCAAAGCATATATACATACAGATTGAAGGTATTTTGAATTTCTCTTTGTAAACTTGTCATTCACTTTTGGCACGTTGGCCGCTAGTAGGAACGCTTTGAGGATATAGAGGAGTAGACATACTGTTACCTGTTTGGTGGTGGTTACCAGTGGTCTCAAGGACGCGCATGTCGTCCTATTCTAAACTCGTCAATGGGAAAAACATTACTCACTTAGATGTCAATACACCTGACTTATGAGTTCTGAATAGTACGAAACGCGCGTCTTGTATCCCACTGCTGGTTACTGTCGACCAGGTTAGATTATAATTATAATGGGGCTCGTACTACTAATATAGATGTATGTAGTACTATATATTCCCCAGAAAGTTTATCTTGATTAAGCTTATTTAAGGAAAGAGAGAAAGAAGCGCTTAAATGGTCAGTGGAACTTATAAATAGTGAAGTAATATCAAGCAGT